GGCATACACCGATTCCAGCCTGACAATCTGGTTTACCAATCCGATAAAGTTGATCAATGGCATATGCGAAAGACGCAGGAGAACATCGATCGCTTCGTGAACTATGTGACCTCGATTGTCAAATTGTCGTACCATGTGAACGTCGTTGAAGCTTCCCGAGAGGGAATTGCCGCGCTCAACAGGGTGAGAAGATTTAAATACAGTTGGGATTCCTCAGCGACAGTCAAAATACCGGAATCGTATTTACAACTTATCAATGAATTTGTTGAACAGCGAAACGCGCGAATGCAACAGACGTTGGGGAAGAGCAGGCAGTTTACTGTCGAGGAAGTACAAGCGTACAGCCCCTTTGAGACGAATGACGTGTCAGTCGAAGAGCTCAAGGCCTCCGTTAACCTGGAAGGCGAAGATCCTCAAGATGTGTTGCAGTTTGTCAATGTTGTACCTGTTATTGAGCTACCGGAGGAACAGCCCGCATTGGACGAGCCGATGGATGACGTTGCGACAGCCGACGTAAAAGTCGAGCCGAAGGTTGAGGAAACCGACGCGGACGTTGAGATGCCCGATAGCTATACAGGCGCAACCGACGAAGTACCTGGGCCTGATACTGGTATCGCAGGCGTAAATGCCTTGCCGACAGCACCAGAACCTGATCCACAGATGGCGAAGATCGAGGCCGAGGTTCTTGATGTTTTGGCTGATGATGAAACGACTGTTGAAGAAGGTGCAACCGGAGATGTTCCTATGATCCCTACGGACGCGGACCAACCCGCAGAGGGTCAAGCGTCTTCATCTGACTCGAGACCACCATTGCCGCGATTGCGAGGCAAAGGGCAGGGACAAGGCACCCCTTCGGTCGCTCCCGTAACGGGGAGCTTTCTTGCACCTGAGAACAACGACAACCCCGACTTGAAATTTTCTGGAAAAGGGAAGGGCGTTCGCGAGACGAAGCCTAACCCCGAGTACAAAAATATGCAGGTCGAGGTTGAAGAGGTTCTCGGAAGGTATCCTTACCCGGATCACCTACTCAAGGCCATCGGGAATGGCAACATCCAACTCCTCGAGGATGAGCTGGGCCGCGACGCCAAGCAGTACGTGCTGTACCACGTTACTGGCCATAGGTATTATTATGTATATGAGGATTATCATCATGGGCCTTGGGAGTGGTGCTGCTCCTGGCCATATCATGTTCGTCGCGGTATTTCTGGTCTTCTTCGTGGACACGTCCCAGACGTCAGTATTTATGATCCGGCGTGTTATTTGCCAATTTACAAACTACTAGATTTGGCGAAGGCCAAATTCCCTGATTATGCTGATTCTATGAATGTTTTTGAGTTGATTTCGATGGCTATTTATGACAACAAAGATCGTTTCGAATTTCAATGCGTGTACGACTCTCGTGTGAACGAGCAGCTCGAACTTTTCGCCGCCCCCGTCAAGATCCGATGTGGACAAGGCCACACCGACGACGTTCTCGAGACGCGATCAAATGAAGTGCTAGCAGTACTAATCTACTGCCGTCCTGACCATGTACACAGGTACAATGCTCGTTTGACAGCGCACGGGAACCGCGATATACCACCTCGGCTTTACCACCGAACGCATGAAGGTGCTGCGCGATCCATTATTGCGAGCGGGCTCATTCCCGGCGGTGGAGCCGGTGGACCGAAAAGCAAAGGCAATTCCTTCTTTTCAACACAACCTCTGGGAAACCAGAAGGCGATATCTGGTGTTCGTGCTGACCGACCAGTGGAGATTTGTTTTTCAACACCGGATGTGATTGAAGCAGGAGTTGATCTTTTCCTCACAAATTCTGGCGCGGTGATTACCAGCCATCACGTTCCGAATACGTGTATTCTATTTGCAACTCGAGCCCGCGCAAATGCGGAGCCGGAAGTTTTCTATTCGAGGCCGCAGGCATTGGATCCTTCGAACATTGAGGTCGGTGTTCCGCAAGATGATGTGACATTGGTCCCGGGAAAAGTGTCGGAAGTACGCACCATTTTGGAAGGTACAAGCGACGCCACTCCCGAAGAACGCACAGCTAGCAGCAGTGCCGCAAAGAAGGAAGAGATGGAGGCAAATCGCAATACAGCTGTACCACAGATCGAGAGTGGATATTTTCTACATCTTCGAACTTTCAGCTGCGATAAATGTACGACACTTTCCTTAGCAGGAATGGCATCTTGTCATCGATGCGGAGTAGTATTTCAGAGCAATACAACAGATGGACCGATTTCAAAGTTTATGCGACTTCAGATGAGGCGTGCAAAGGTGCTACAAGAGCAGGGGGGGCGTGCCCAAGAACATGACCGCAACAAGCATGCTTGACAGCATTGCCGCGCAGGATCTACAGTCTGGACGACCTCCAGCTCGTGGCAGCCCGTCAGTTGACAGTCAGATTATTCTTGCAGCTCGCAGTCGCCTTCGCAAAGCATTGAAATCAGGGTATGAGAATGTATTCGATCGATTCAACCGCGACGACGTCTTCGCCACCTCCTTAACCGGAGAAGGATGCACAGCGTTTGATGCAGCGCAAGAAGACTTGTTTGCGTCACTGCAATTACCGGCACCCACGAGATCAGCGAAGCAGAGATCAAAAGGGAAGTCGGTTGTCAGTGATTTGGATCGACTGGACAGGGTTGACCTCGCCAAGCTCGCGTATATTCGATGCGGTGTTGACAACCTACATACCTGTTTCAAGCAAGGCGTCGACGAGAACTTTCTGATCAGTTATCGCCGAGAGTTTATGTCACTCCGACAATACGCCGCCGTAATTGGCGATAGCCGAGATGAGATCAAGATCCAGGGCTTTATCCCCACGACGGACGTCTATGGCGATATTCATTCAATTCGTATTCCTCGTGGAGACACGACAGGCATTTACAAGATTTTGAGTGAGTTTGCAGAGCAGAATGAAAGTTATGCAAACATTCAATATCAGAGAAACGCGCAACAGTCTGCAAATATGCAGGGACGCGATCGTGGACAGCCAGTTTCACAGATGGGCTTCATGAACATCGAACAGCGCATGGCCACGCCTTATCCCAAGTTTGCCGATTGTGGCCAGGACATGTCATCTGACGAAGTCAGAAGGTTGGAAGAACTTTTGTTGGAGTTTGGACAGCGTGGATCCCCATCTCCTCAAGGACCTGTAACAAGGCCCCCGTTGACGCGGAAGCGATCGCAGATGTATATGGAGACTATTGGAGATGCAGACAAACGACCGAGGCTGCAGTGGAGGAGGAAAGAAGACCGAGATCAATCTGGTCGTATTGCAACTTGGGTTGACAACCGGACTCCACCGCCAGGCGTGCCTCAGCCGCCAGCTCCCGTAACAGGGACGCATACCTCGTCGGTATTCAGTATGAATGCACCTCCTGCTCAAGGACAAGTATCAGGCAAAGGAGACTCCCATAAACGGGATGCCAGTGTGCGAGGAGATGTTGCCGGTAAGGGCAAAGGGCAAGGCAGTTCTTCTGCGTCAGGTTCCACTGCTCCCGCAAAAGGGACGCCACGTGGTTCAGTTGCCCGTGCAATATCTCGCAGCCGTGAAGACCTTCCACCTAAGCGTGGCAACATTCCCAAGGACCTTTTGGGTCCTCCACTTCGCACTCCACCATCCACTCCTGCAAAACCGTCAATCCCAAAGCCTCCTTCCAATCCACCGTCAGTACCGGTGAAAGAGGCCCCAGCATCACCACCTCCACCACCTGCACCAAATGATGCACCAACGGCCGGCTTATCCCCGGCTTCAAAACCACGTCCAGCAAAACCTTCACCTCCGAAGGTCCCACCAACAAAGGTGCCTCCTCCAAAGGTTCCTCCACCGAAAGTGCCACCCAATACAGCCAGTGGCATTCCGGTACATACAAGGCCGACAGATTTCAATCTCACGCCGAAGCCGCCGCCGCTTACAGACCTTTACAGTCGGTTGCAACCTTCCGTAAAAGGAAAGGGCAAGGATAAGCAGCAGGTGAGTGTTCGAGGAGGACCTTATGCTCCACAGCAATGGAATGTACAAAACGTGCCACCGCCGCCATTGCCACCCGGAACTTCATCCGCTTCGGCATCATCGTCACATAATGCACCCTTAACTGGGCCGCCGACTTCCAGCATTCGTGGAACTATTGATCGACCATTGGAACCCTTTGATTTTCCTGGAGTACAATGGCAACGCGATGACCCATGGGGCGAGAACTATTGGCCCAATCACATGGAATTGTGGGAGTGGTTGAGGCAGGGATGGCATGACGAGACGGAGCGTTTTGGAATACAATTTCTTTAAGCAGATGTTGAATAGCTACCATAAATGGTATGCCTTGCAGCTTATGAGTGTTGAGATAAAGATCACCTTCTGACGCGCTGTGAGATGATGTTTCACTTCATTGTCTCACTTCCCAATGCATCCATAACAGGATTGCCATAGTCGGAGAGTGAACTTTTAATCAATGCTTAACACTAACCTGGGCCTAGCATGTTTAACCACATGCCGAGTGAGGCGAAAACTGTACATTAGGGTAGCTACGTTCTCCTTGTATAGTGCATGCACGAGCTTGATGAGGGATTTCTAATATGATTCCTTCGTCGCTAGAATTTGATCCTCCCCGAGATTTTCCCTACGGGTAGCTCCTTGTAAAGGGGGGTGTTGAAATTCACCTCATCCCCATGGACCCCGTAGCGTTGACTCTCAAGGTAGAGCAAAAGGTAGCGCTTACCGGACTAGCAGGGTTAGCTAGGTAGTTAGTACTATTAGAGCTGATCCTGTAAAATACAACATCGAAGGAGTGTTTACATGATTTGACGTGTTTGCTGCCATTCTGTTGGGTTGGTGGGGGTGAACCCCCCGCACGTCGGGCGTTCCATGCTGGATGGCCATCATCGCCAGCATGGCACTGCAGAGGTCAGAACTCTCACCTCCGATCACCTCCCTCCACCTGGAGGTGATTTCCTGTGGGATCCTCGAGTCCTCCACCTCCTCCACCCCGTCCTCACGTGAGGTCCCAAGCTCTCGGAGGCCATCCTCTCGGCTGCCCGGGTGAAGATCGAGTCACTGTCTCCTCAGGAGACGGACGTCCGGCATCATCCGGGTCATCCAGCGAATCGGGGGAATCGGGGGAAGGAAGCTGCTTGGAGAAGGACCATGGCCTGGCAGATGGCAGCTGATCTGAGGACAGTTCGGAGTGAATGAACTAATAGGCTTAAGGCATCTTAAGACCACTTTTGGAGACTTTTAGTAATTAGGAGGGTAGTGGAAGAGGATGTCGGAAAGTTGGAGATCATGAGAGCATCTCAACTCCGTTCATTGGCTCAAGAGCTAGAAAGTGCACTGGGAGAGATTTGAGCTAGCAGACATCAACATCACGATGGCCCAGCGTCCTATGCTGTTCGTCCTTGCCGCGGCTGCCTGCCTTTGGCTCTTCTCGTCCAGCACCACCCCTCAGGAGGTCTTCGTCATCCAGAGCCCTGCCCTTCGTGGGCAAGGAGCCTTCACTGGCAACACCGTGTAGATCTCGGTGGTCGCCGTATCATTAAAAAAGAAGGCATTGCCTGAGCCTCGCCCCAATGATGCCATGCTGCCTGTGGAGTTGAACCGAACCTCCTTGTACTGGGGTTTGCTGTGCATTTGCGTTCTCTCGGTGCTGTTCTCCAGCTACTTCTTCAACTGAGCGCGCTGGCAATCCTGTAGATTTTTTTGGAGACAGATTGTATGGCGCTTTTCAGCAGTTGAGGTGCAGTTCTGTTTCGCAGACTGTGCAGAGACAAGAGTTGGAACGCTTGCAAAGGCTAGCCACTGTGGCCAAAAAGCGCCAACGACCTCGCGGAGATGGTGCGGGGAGGTGTGGGAGTCATAGTCAGCCATCCTAACAAGTGTGGGGATGCATGCCACTTGCCTCAAAGCCAAGAATTGTCCAACTTGCAGCTTGGAGCCTGGTGGGGGTTTCCCACCTCCTGATCCACAACTCCATGGCTCTTTCATGCTTTTTTCGATGGTTTTTCTCGTTTTTGGGTCGTTGCCGCATCTCGCTCGCTTGCACGTCACGTCACCTTTGAACCCCCAGGAGCTGGCGAATCTCGCTTGGTCGTGGGACGTCACCGGAGAGACCGAGCGGTTGCGGGTCTTCTTGCAGGCCCCGGGCGGCGCGGCGTGTGGCACCGATGGAGACACCGGCGGAGAGACGGCCGTCGATGTCCCACGGGACCCCCGCGTCCCGGGCGCCGGGAAGCATCAAGTGGAGCATAGTGTGAGCATTGGAGCGTGTTTCGCGCGTTTTTCGGAAAAGACTCCGGAAGCAACAAGGCATCCAAGCCTGGGAACCATTCGGAAGTTGACTGCTGGAGTTTGTGAGTGAGTGGGTCCCAGGTGTGAGTTGATATTCAGCCTATAGACCCCGACAGAGATAGAAAAGTAGATCCCCATTGAACATGTATTGGACACTGTGCCATGTAATTACCCAGACACGACCCATGGGACCTACATGCCGCCCCATTGACCCCCCCCCATGGCACCACCCCTGGCCGTTTCTCGGCAGTCCTTCTTCTGGCAGTCCCAGACGGTCTGAGTGAACCGCCACGAACCTTCGCTCTGCTCCGCTCCTAGTTGGCCATCCCGCGTTTCATCGCCATCGAGGGCTTCTCGGATGTCGCGGTAGGGGGGCCTGACAGGCCCCCCCTGATGGGGGGGCCTCGAGATGTCTCAAGCCTCTATAATGGTGTGTGTTTTTAAGAACCACGGGCACAGGCACGCTGCATGGAACATTGGGACACACTGTGAGACAGTTACTGAACAAATCAGCTTCTTAGTTCTGTATACTTTGTTTTCTTTTTCTCCGTGGCTTTGATCACGGGCTCCAGCATGTTTTTGCTGGAGTCAGATCCAGGTTCCACGTCTTTTGGCACGTCATTGCAACTCTAGGCCACCACTGACCTGGTCAACATCGCCAAGCGTCACGAATACCAGTGTGAAGGTGCCAAAACGGCAGAGCCGCGAGTGGCAGTGTCGCACACTTCACTCTACACCATCTTCGGCAAAGCGGACGCACCGGTATTCTCGAGGGCGCAGGCGAAAGGTGGAAGCAAGAAGCTACGAACGTCACAAGATGTCACAAGGGCATCGCTACGAACGTAGCAAGAAGCTACAAGGACTCCCAGTTCTGCAACATCCATTCCACCCCCCGGAGATCGTTACTGACCCTTCCTCCTGTGACATTGTTTTGGGTCGGTGTATGTCCATGTGGTACAGGTCGCAGACCATTGGAGACGGAATTTCGCCGACGTCTCTTTCAGCCCTTGCTGAAAGCACTTCAGAAATGTGCGGTCCCAAGAGTCGACTCTGGGTGCCAACGAGTCGATGCTGCGACGCGAAAACGGCGGCCGTCTTGACTTTTCATGTGTCCGAGGCTGGACACTATTCTTGTGGTTTAGCATTCAAGACTAAGAGAGCTATTTCCCCCTCATGTTCGATTTGAATTGAGTGAAAGGAGCAACCACTGCAATCCATTGAAACCTTAGCCCGTGCTTCAGGCGCCAGCGCCGGGCTTCACATCGTTGATGCCGTGGATGAGTTGGAGACCGAAGTGCAGCGGGTTGGTTTCCCTGGCGTGATTTTCAATCGAGTTGAGCATGGTTGAGCAGATTGATGACCATAGCTTACACTAGCAGCCCCTCGATCCCCTCGCACACCACTGCATTCTGTGACCCTGGCAGGTTTGGAAAGCAAGGTTTCAACCCTGGCAGGTTAGAAAACGTCTGAGTTGACGGCTGAACATGGTCCGAACCGCCTAGCCACAGTTTCACTCCAAAATGCGGGGACTTGATTGGTCCGATAGCTGATGTAGCTGATACAGCTGATGTAGCTGATAGTGACTTTGGAAGAACTTCCGAAGCTGCTCAGAGGGAAGCTCTAAAATCCAATCTCCTTTTGTGGGCAAAGGAGCCATGGGGGTTGTTTTACTTGAAGGTACTCAAAAGGCTCCCTTTGCACGGGGTGGTGCTGTAGTGTTTTTGTTGCGGGCTTTTGTCAGCCAGGACTTACGAACTTTGGCCCTTCAGCTGTACATTGGCCAGCTGAATTGCTGAGATGTCTCAAGAAGTGTTAGCGCGATGTAGTGCGCGCTGTGCCGGGGTGTCATTTTAATTTTAGATTCAGGGCCTATCGATTCATCTTCAATGGCGACATGTGTTTGTTTTCACCGTCCCCCTACAAGGAGTTTTGTTGGCCAGTTGGCTGAGGCTATGTGTACGCTCGGGATGCCATTGGCGATCTAGGCAAGGGGCAAAACAATCTGTTCAGCGGACCATGTTTGAAACGATTTTGATGTGCCACTGTGCCACCTCGAAGCACGAACTCCCTCCGACTCACGACTCGATTTGCACGGTTTTATATCGTTTTATATATGACGGTGACCTCTGGAAGCCTGCAGGTTTTCGAAGCCGGCCCAGCGACGGAGCCACAGCTCCCGACTGGGTGCTGGAAGCTCGGGCGTTGGCTCGAAAATACCTGGAAGAATGGCGGATGCCTGGTACAGAGAACATTGTGGTCAGATCCTTAAATATCTCAGAATGAATTTTTGAGTGTTTTTGATTTATGTAGTTGATTCTAAGATGATTTAAGGAGGGATGGACATAGGAGCGTGGGTCAGAGGCCAGAGGCTACAAGTGATCTAAAGGGCTCACAGAGTGGTACAGTGACTCAATGATCTTGGAATGCCCTAGAATGTTTTGCCGGAGGAAGGTCTTCAGAGAAAGAAGCAGTAACCCAAAACATGCCGCTTGGTTCGGGTTGCAGTCAAGGGCTCAAAAACAGGGCCTCCAACTCGGACGTGCAGAGTTGGATGCAAGCCACACAACACTTGGCGATGTCCACCCTGATCACAAGAGAAGTCATCACAATTTTTGGGTCCTTCGTTTTCACACTGCATGGCTCAGGCCGTCGTGTCCTATGAGCTCTGCTACCGCCGCTGCACTCAACTCCGACTTTCGCACCGCGGCGACACCGACTTCGCGCACCGCACCGCGGTCACCGCACCAAGGTGGTGAGATCCTGCGGCAGGAGCCCAAGGTGGTGACGAACGGCTGGGCGGAAGGAGTTCATGATGACGTGAAGGCCGGCTCGCACGACACGTCGTCACGGCGACGTTTCGTGCGACGGGTCGAGGAGCCGGACGAAGGTGACATTCTGATTTATTATATTGATATATATATATATATGGCTTGGACGTTCGATGATCATCAGGTGACTGTATATAATACAGGTAAGTGATAGTGAACTTGTCATTATATATGATTAGTACTGTACAAGTGCCACATAGTGTGTATACAGTACTTGTGTGCTGGGACTGTGTTTGTTCTCCGTAGCCAGTCTGGCTGCAGGTCTAGCCTGCTCTGAGAGTCTCATTGTTTGAACAATAGGCACTCTCGGGGCTCTTTGCCATGGGAAAGACCCGCGTCATTTCCAAGGGTTACCGGCATGGCACACGCGACAAGTATTCCAAGAAGTATCGAACCAAGGGCAGACCTGGATTGGCCAGATACTTGGTGAACTTCCGGCGTGGAGACTATGTAGACATTGTCGCCGACCCGTCGATTCAGAAAGGCTTGCCGTACTCCTTCTACCATGGCAGGACGGGTATCGTCTTCAACGTGAACCGCAACGCCCTAGGGGTCGAAATGACCAAGATTGTGGGAAACCGCCAGCTGCGGAAGCGCATCCATGTGCGCATTGAGCATGTCCGCAAGTCTCGCTGCAACGAAGCCTTCCTGCACAGAGTGAAGGAGAATGACAAGAAGAAACAGCAGGCCAAGAAAGAGGGCAAGAGCATCGTTTGCAAGCGGATCCCAGAAGGACCAAAGGAGATGAAAACCGTCACAGCATCGGAGGATGTCGAGGTACTTGCACCTTTGCCCTTTGTGGAGAACTACTTCTAAATCTTTCGAAGCTCGAATAGCTCTCCAGAGTTCGATATGTTTGATGATGTTTGATGCATGCAGGTGCGGCGGAAGCGACGTGCCTTTCAGACGCTGAATGAGATGTTCAGAGCAGGAGAAAAGGTTTTGTCACCATGATCACCAGTCCGCGACTCACCTTTGGGTGGTGGAGGCTTCTCCCAAAAGTTGTGTTGGATGCGTAGCCATATGGCCATATAGCCTCTGACTGCCATTGCTTCACTTTCCAAAGCCTTTGGTGGGCATTTGTGTAGCAGGGATATAAGCAGTCAGAGTCAGACTCAGTCAACTCAGATAGACTCCGTCAGGAGTATAGGCAGTCAGACTCAGTCAGACTCAGTCAGACTCGGACAGACTCTGTCGTCCCATCACCCGGTCGATGCCGCCAGGCCATGTTACGGCCGGTCGATGCGCGCGGCTGGTCGTGCGAATCCTACAGCGAACGAGTCGCTCTGCTAGAGCTGCTAGAGGTGCGAGCGCGAGAGCTAGATCCAAAGGGGAAGCAGCATGAGGAAGAGGGAAGAGGGAAGTATAGTACACCATGGTGCACCTATGTATCACCTTGGTGATTTGGACAGAATTGAAGTCATGCGTGCAACATTTTGATAGACACCCCATTTGCCAAGATCCTGAGTACCTAGCTCGTTTTGAGCTCGTTTTTCCTACACAGCCAGGCAGCTCGATGCCAATTTGGTGATGACTCGATCTCCGAGATGTCGGGGTGGCTTCGCATGTACCATTCGCATCACACCAGCGTGATGCCCGGCTGCATGGCCAAACAGCATGGCCAAACATGGACAACCACATGTTTGCGACCTGTGGTTCTCGTTCTCAGGTTCTCACATGACTGGTCAAAGTGGACCTGACATCAGTGTTTCTAACTAATTATATGTTCACCTCATGGACATCTGATGTAAAGAAATTGAACTTATATTTGTTCACTCCCGATATTGATCCATATCGATCCTATTGCTTGGAGAATCCCTGGCTATTCCCCAATTGGTTTGTTAACATATATTTTAAAGGTAGGTATGTTCTTGCACGTTTTCCAACCCACCGGACTGAATCTGCACCCTCCCTCGCGGAGAGACCAGGGACCGTGAGCAAGAGAGGCACCAGATCACTTCGTGCCGAGGATGTGGGCGAACATGTTAGACCTGCTCTCTCGTGAATCCCCCCCTCTTTCTGATTACTCCGAGGATTGTCATGTTGCAACGACTTATTGAAGACTTATTGCATAGTATTGCATCATATTGCCCTTGCTCCCGAGGACTGGCTTCAGCATTTTCTGTCAGTTTCGGAGACAGGTTCCTCAGGCAAAGCTCGACTTGCCAAAAATGTATATACCTATGCCTATCTATGCCTATGACTGACTGACGGTCAGTTTGAGCCGTTTGACAGTCTATGAATCAAATTGCTTAGTCATTAAGTTAGGTCATAAGACGAAGTGTGCTTAGTCATTAAGTGACGCCTTCGCGGCGGTCGACCGCCGTGACCAGGTCGACTTCGAGCTGGACTACGATGGTGGCTGGTACACCTGGGCTGGAAAGCCGCGACCGTTAATGACGCTCTCCGGCGTGGCTTCGGCTGAAGCAAGACGTGATCAAACGGTTTGACTTGAATATCTTGAATGCAGAAAAGCTCAACCTGAAGGCTCATGAGAGGCCTTAACAAAGATTAATACATGTAATGTAATACATAGAGTTATACAACAAATAATATATCAGTATATAATAAAATGAAGAAGTATGTATAGAATTGCATATAGTATTATCGATAATGTCGTATTGTTATCATCATAACTTGTGCCGGATATTCATCGAATTCCATGCCAAACCAAGGAGGAGAACATCTACTACCACAGCTGAGTGCTGTTTAGATTCCAGCCCCAAAGCAGCACAAATGTGACAGGCTCAGGGCAAGAAAGCTTCGTCGCTTCGTTGGCCTGACCGGTCACGAGGGTATGCGCGGGTGACCAATGCGGTGAGGAGTTCGATCAGGATGATGCACTCCGACGAACACATCGAAGTGGAAAACCTCCGGTATGTAAAGGAAAGTAGTCTTCCAAGGGACCATGCCATCCGCTTCCATGTTAGTGAGTCAGGATGATATTTGCAAGAAATCCCCCCAGACGTGTGACAGAGCCGGTGACGACCAGCGTGACGACCAGTGTGACGACCAGCGTGACGACCAGTGTGACGACCAGTCAGTGTGACGACCAGACCAGTGTGACGACCTGTGGGTTCGGGCGAACTCGTGGACATCGGGCGTGTTTTTTCAATGAAATGTCAGGAGATACATTAAGTAAGGCATAAGGCTGATAAGGCTCCCTTAAAAATGGTCCCTTTTTACGCAGCTTAATCAGGTTCTTCCTTGGTTCATGTGTTTTTGTCTTTCTCCGTGCGCGCCTTCTCCGTACTTTTAAAGGCAAAGATCTTGGGACTTCCAACCCCTGTCATAGATGGCTAGAGGCAGGGAGAGGAGATGGGCTTTTGACCTCATTCCCCAGACCTTATCCTGCCCATCGAATTGCTGCCATTGGCTCAGCTGCGTAATATGCCACGACATGTCGGGGCGTGCAAGTGTTCAAGAGCTTTCTTCTAATTGCCTTTTTTGTGAAAGACACGCGTGTTGCCTAAGTTGGCGTTGTTTATTCCCGGAGTCGAATGAATATGATGAATCACTTGAACCAATCCAAGCATCCGGGATAACCTGGGATGGCCTATGTTGGCCTCATGAAACGGATCCCCCAAATTCAGGCAAATCATTTGAGGTGAACTTGCCCCGGTTTCATTGACCTCAGATGTAAAAACACGATTTTGCCCAATGGCTTTCTGGAGATGAGCTATTTCGAGTCAAAGGTGGCAGGCACGGGGCGCCTTCATTTCTTCAAGTTGTCCAGTTTCTTAGCATCAGAACCTGCATGTGGCCAGAGCAAGGACTAGATTGGAATTAGAACGAAATTGAAGCTTGTAGCTTGCCAACTGCCGGATGTTCTTCTCTCGAGTACAATTCTGAGAGGTAGCAGTCTGCCGACCTACACCCTCGAAGCCAGTAATTTTAGGAGTTCTTTGCCGCTTGGATGGAAGAAGCTGGGGTGATGATGACTCTACTGGTATCAACGTGTTGTGGAATGCCAGCCCATGCTCACAATGTTTTTCTATTTTTGTCGCAATCGGATGACAAGATAAGCAGATACGCTTTGAGAAAGGGTGACTAGATTGCCTCAATCTCCAGATGCTCCGGCAAAATGGAAGCCCCACTCTGTCCTGCTTAACCAAGGAGAGGACTTCAATGGGAAGCCCCACGCTTAAGAGAGCAGGATGATTCACGTGGAGCCACTTGGGTGATAGCAACGTGTGGATTAGCCACGTTTTGGACACGTGGCTCATGACCAGATGCTGTGAAGTACGTACACTCATGGCAACACTCATGGCTTTTGAGTGCCTCGTTGATAGACAATTCGAAACAGAAAGACGTGTTGTAGACTGTGCTTCACTGCACTTAGGTGACAAAGCAGGAGGCATTTTGCTGGATCTTATTTGGCTCCTCCAATGCGCCTCGTTACCTAGTCTTTAGATGGCCTCATATTGGTCAAACCATGGCTCTTTTACGCTTTTTCTAATTTTCACATGAGTCACAAGTCCATTCTTCTTTGTTTGTCAAGGCAACGACCGTGATACGCTTTGCGCACGGAGAACCTTTATTACAATTGCTTCTGGCGCTTTTCACTTATTGGCATCTCAGATGAAGATGGGAGCATGCCAGATGTGCGATGCCATCTGGCGCTTTTCAGCCGTTTTCTCTTCCAAATCGCCTTCGTCGCCAATCGCCTTTCTAAATTGGCCTGCCGCTCTTCACAGCGACTCAGGAGTCTTTATTCTGCCTCGGCAGACTACGCCGCTCGGCCCAGCCGCGACGGCCGCGTCCGGTCGACCGCGTCGACCGTCGAGAGTCGACCGAGTCGGATCACACCGAGTCCACGCGCTTCAACACGGATGGATTGGACCACGGGCTCTTCTACATGCTGTGACTCGAATTTTGGTGAAGGGGATGCGAAACATGGAGCTTGCTCCATGTTGCTATGGAGAGGGATGGAATGTGGTGAGGATAATGCATGGATAAGCCAATAGCATGAGGACCTGCGTTTGGTGTGTATTTGTGAGATCTTAGGCTTGCGATTTGCATCTTTGTTATGGATGTGAATTGGACAGGCCTCGCAGCAGATGAGTTTGCAACGCCGAGGGTCGTCGAAGCTTAAATGGCCTTTGCAGTGCACCAATTGTTTGATCTGTCTCTGTCTGGGCTTTGTCATCTGTCAATGCAAGACTCGGAGGCAATATACTGGCGTCTGGCAATGCAGCCGCCCGTTCGCTGCACCTGTCCTTCTTGGCAGGATGCTACTTGCTGCCTCTTGGGACAGCAGATCTCATGCCAGTCACGGGACCCACGGCGATAAGGTCCCCTAAGGTCCCCCCAGACAGTGGAGTGTTTCTACAGTTCCAGTCCACTGTCCCTCCAGTTCGGGTTCCTTGGTGGACCGGAGCCAAGAGGACCGACCCCATCGACCTCAGGCTTGGCTTGATGCACCTCAGGGTGGCACTTGGTCTCCGAAGATGTCGTAGCTTGGCCCCGCGGCGCGTCGGGAGGGGGCGGAGGGGCCCGGAGGATCGAGCCTGATCGAGCGCAGGGCGCAGGGCTTCTTTGGGGGTTCTGTCTCGTCATCCGGAGACAGAACGAGACTTCGAACGATGAATTGATTTAGTCAGGTGAATGATTCCATTGATTCAGTGGAATGATTCAGTTGCATTGATTTAGTCAGTGATTCATGTTCATGGTTGATGGTTGATGGTGGGACTCCGCCACATGCATCTACACGGCTCTCGTCACTGTCTGGCCACGACTGGAAGGCAAGTTTGCCGTCTATCACATGCTTCTCAATGTGGTCAGTGTGATCTTCTATCTGGTGGCTGCGCGCAGCTCTGAAACTTCTTGCAAGGTGCCGTAACGATCTTCGACTGGCTCCGACTCAAGCAAACGCCATTGCGTGTTGGTTTGGGCGGCTCTGGTGGGGGGTCCACGGTCCAAGTGAGGAACATTGCATTGGCACTTGGGCACCGTCCCCCCAATGATCACCCCAATTCAGCAAGAATCATGATGGTTCTGCTAGTGGTTGTGCTTTTGTTCGCATTCTTCACCGGTATTTGCGGGTGAGTTACTTGGTTGTTTCGAATTTTGGTCGAAGACCCCCTTCCTGGAACGGCTTCCAGCCTGGGACACCCCACGCGGACACTGGGATCCACCTCTTAGATCCAATTCGCTGAGCCATGGGCGAAGCAGATGGCCATGGGTTTTGTTCATCCACCCTTGTTATATACCTTGTTACCGCCTGGCGCATCCCGTGGGCAAGAGTGCCCAGTCTGAGTGCCCAAATGCTTCTTTCGGGCGCCAGGTGCTGTGCTGGTTTGCCTGTGCGCCGCTCTTCTTGCTCAGGACCCCAAAACGAACAAGCTGCCTAGCCTGATCTAGCCTGTAGACGTTTGAAACCACCTGGGGAATTCGTGCTGAGACTTCGAGACATTGCCCTGCCAGGACCTGTGGGATTCCTTTTATCCAACACATCGACCAGATCACGAAGCAGAGAAATGCTCAAGATTACATCAGTCCATTGGAAAATATCTAGAAAACCAAATGGCAATCAATGGTCACCCCTTGGTGGAGACATTTGTGCGACTGGCAGTGCATGCGCATGTGCCAGCTTGTTCCGCCCGCTGAGATCGAGCGCAGTCGGTGATGATCACCACTCTGGCAGCTGGGCAGATCGGAGAAAGCTCTAAGCCTACTAACAGCCAGTCCTGGGGTCTGGTGGTGTTTTAGAGGGGAATGGCCTCCACATGCCTCCACCCTAGTAGCCATGGCCTCCACCCTAGTAGCGATGGCCTCCACTTTGCTTGCGCGTCTTAGCCCAGTGTGCCAAGGCTTTGGTGGTGAAGTGCGTGGTGAAAGGAGTGAAGCCAGGCATCGGCAACGCATCCATCCGGTCCGCCCGCCGAGAGTGATTTTCCGCCCGCGTGAGCTCGAGGCGAAATTGGGATCGGCAACTGGGACCTGCTACTTTTGTCACTGGTGTCGCTTGGTTGGTGCCGAGTTCTTTTTTTGCGGGATTATTTTTCATTCAATTGGGTGCTTTTTTGTTGGGGATTGAGGTCGCAAGAAATGCGGAAACGGCACGCAAATACGACGTGCAGACGACCCCAAAGAGGATGTGATGGGGAGGGTGAAGGAGACAGGAAATGGCAGTGAAGTTGTTTTTGGGCATAGAGGCTCGGACCTCGAGGATTCGTGGTGGACGCGCGGGAGCGAGCGAGCTAACAGTGTGGCATTGGAAGCCAGCCAATGTTGAGGATTATGTTGAGGGGCATTGGAGACGAAGTGATGAAGCATTATGTGAAGCACATGAAAAACAGCAGTCACCCGAGGGTGATCAGTACAGTTTGAGAAGTTCACCAGCAAACTGAGGTTGGTATTGCTGACAAAGCTTTTGATGTTTGATGCTCGATTTGCCGAAGCTTGGACCGCCAAGAGAGAATTGGGATTTTGCAAGAGCCATCCAAACACCAATTTCTATCTAATTTATACTTGAAATCCTAAAGGTTGATTCAGTTGATTCTGTGGTCTTTCGAAAGAAGCGAACCGAAGCTGGCAGAGGATACCAAGTGGCATGCTGTACGATGCTTGAAAAGTAGCTGGCGTCCAACCGTCTTTCTAAGCCTTGTTCCTGTGGCTATGGCCGGGGAGCCTCGGCAGTATTCTGGGGTGGCCTGTGGAAGGCAAGAGGAGGCATTTAGTGACTGCGGTTGAGCCAGACATCTAAGGTGATGATGATGGCTGCGGGATGCTTTCTCATACTCGACCTCGAGTTTCAGGAGTGGATCCTCGTTCGGACGTGCAAACTCATCGCACGCTGCGACTCACTCCTCCCTATCCTCCTTCCCATCTCCACGTCTTCTCCCGCGTGCCGCGGGACTCGTTCGGACCGTGACCGGACCGCGTCCGGACCGCAAGGACCGTCCACCCGTTCGCGTGAGGACTATGACCGGGGAGAAGCCCAGAAATTCGACCGTGATGCGGGCCATCATCTCAACTGGGGCAGCCTGGCTGGACCGAGTCCGTTCAGACTGCATCAGAGGCCACTACTTTCGATTTGCGTCGGTCCATTCTGCCTTGAACTCCATTTTGTTTGGCTCTTGTTTTGAGACACCAGGAAAAACACTTGCAACATGAGAATCGGCAGCTTGAGACACCTGATAATTTTTTTGCAGTATTCTAGCAGCTAGGCACGCATGGCCGAGGTTTTGGCTTGATGCTTCTGTCAGTGACCGTAATGCGGCTCCTGCACAACCGCCCGGAGCTTCCTGGGCGCATTGCGCGGATGTGGCAGGTCTGACTACTGACTGACTCTGACCGAGTGACTGTCCAATCTGAAGTTGGACGGAAAGCTGTGAACGCTGGCCGCTCCCCCAAAACCGACTCCGTTTCTTGAGACTATTTTTGGGGAGCTATTCAATCTGGGAGTTCTCATGTGCAATGGCTGATTTGATTGCCCTTGAACCTTCAAAAGACCATTCAGTTGTCTATTCTTATCATTGCAGATCCTGGCTGTGACGCAAGCAGAATCGATCCTTTTCGGAAAAAACACCGGGCGAACCGATCAGCCGTGGCTGCGGAAGGCCCTAAGGCCCCGCACCGATCGGCACTTTGAGGTGCAGGTGATCTTTCAGCTGACCTTGGCGTTTATCTCATTTTCCTTCCATGTCACCACAGGCCGTGAGGGTCTCTACCGCGCAGCCACTTGGTGAGGCATGCCTTTGTCAGGCTGCAGCAAGAGGTCTTTGACTTCCACCTGATGTAAATCGACGGTTTTTCTCATGCAGATCCCACATCTGTAACGCTGTGTGTGTGTGTGTGTTTCTTGGCGCAAATTCCGCCGCGCACCATGCGGTCGAAGACCTAGGTGCAGTGGACTGCCTTCCTGGTTTTGCTGAACCTCCTTGACTTGGACCAGATAGACGAAGCACTACACCTTGGCCAGTACATTAGCAGTTGGAAGACAGTCTGGTGCCTAAATTCACTCAAGAATTTCAAGCAAGTGTTCCAACGTGTGGGGGCATAGATGGTCAGTCTTCGGGGCACTTCTCAACTTGCAGGTTCGAAGCGTTGGCCACTTGACGCCAGATGAAGAATCAACGTGTGTGCCTAGCAGTTCATCTGAAAGCTCGAGAAGTGAATCATCGATGTCTCAATCGACTGGCTCACCCTCGCCTGAGCGAGGCCCGTCCTCGCAGCTGGACTTAGAGACTCTGGCAATGCTCTAACCGAGTTGATTCAGGATGACTTAGGTGTATGGATGCTGTATGTAAGGTATGAGAATTTAATAGAATTTATATGTTTCATCCTTGGGCGAGGATAGAGTGACTTCTCCCAAAGCCCGAGATGTTGCAAAAGTGAGATGTTGCGAGATGGCTTGCTGAATCAGCCGTTGGTCTAAGGGAAAGGGTCGTTGCCTTCCTGTTGTCCGGTAGCTGGGGTAGAACCTCAATACCTGCAGAGCGTAATTCGAAAGTGGAAGCGGTCCCCATACACCCAAACATCGTGCGAAGCTAGAGTTAGCATCCTGTACTCAACTGTTCATGTGGCTTGGTTTTAGACAAATGTCAGGATATGTCAGGATGCTCAAACAATTCTAAGAGTGCATGGGTGGACTGGGTGATAATCTTTGGACGTGGGGTTTCCAGCCCCGCTGGCCTTGGCCAGTGCTACGTACAGTTCGCGGTGACGTGACGGCCACTGCGAAGAGGGTGGCACTGTCGGTGGTCCGAATTCCGAACTGTGATGCTTCCTTGTGGGTACCGTGGTGGTCACCACCTGCAGGAACAGAGCTTTAGAATGCTTTAGAAAGTTTTAGGTCCGCAGGGGTTTGGAAGAAACAAAATAGGATCAAGCTGACGCTGGCATCGTGTGCTTTGATGCCTGGTTTTGCTCCAGGTTTTTCGTAGGCTCATGGACCCCACCGAGATCAAGCAAGCAAGTTCGGACCACCACTTTGTGCAGGGTCAAATGTGCCGGCGAGTTCAGCCTAGCAGGCTGTTGTTTCCGTTGAGAAAGCGCTGTGGGAGGCCTATGCACCTCCTCTCCTGTCGCTCTGAGGGAAGTGGACATTCTGCACCTCTTGCATTGGAAAGCAAGCTTTCGAGGAGCCATTTTCCATCGTGCATGGCATTTTGGTCGATGGGGATGGTGACTTGTATGTATGGAATCCTCGGTTGAACCGCCGCAGTTCCAATGGTGAACAGCAGCTTCTTGCCCTGGGGTCAAAAGAGGCCGGCTTGGCACCACAATAACAATAGCATGCATGGAATGACACGTTCAGCAGAACTGAAACTCACTGCAAATGCCAAAAAGCATGTGAAAATTGATGAACATTGACTCTCGTGCCCAAGGTAGGGCAGCCACTATTATGTAAAGTGATCAGTTGAACTCAATTGGCACAAGGCCACACGGCCACAGACGACCACAAATCCCACCGACATATCAGCCCATACAATTTATAGAAGGCCCACAGCTGCGAAGAGCAGGCGTTCCTGTACAGAATCATTCTTGAAGTGTGGCCTACGAAATAGACCTTGATCTAGAGGCCTGTCCATGCATGGCCTGTATACAGCGCATGAAACTAGGGTTTTTCATTCTGATTCTCCCACCTTGCCAACAAGTGCCACGCTAGTAGTAACAGGTGCCTTACTAGTAGTAACAAGAAGCTAGTAGAAACAATAAGCTACTAGTAACAAGTGCATCGCTTCTAGTAACAAGTGCATCGCTTGTCTCACCCATACGTCCTAGACAGTCCCACGTTCCAGCTGACTTGCTCCCGGTCAGGACGCCCAGGGGTGGACAGCGGTGGTGAGAGGTGGTGTGTTGATATGGCCTTCAACCTAATAGCAATGGCCTCCAACCTGCTAGCGATGGCCTTCAACCTAATAGCAATGGCCTTCAACCTAATAGCAATGGCCTCCAACCTGCTAGCGATGGCCTTCAACCTAATAGCAATGGCCTCCAACCTAATAGCAATGGCCTCCAACCTGCTAGCGATGGCCCTCAACCTAATAGCAATGGCCTCCAACCTAATAGCAATGGCCTCCAACCTGCTAGCGATGGCCTTCAACCCAATAGCAATGGCCTTCAACCTAATAGCAATGGCCTCTAACCTACTAGCGATGGCCTTCAACCTAATAGCAATGGCCCCCAACCTCCTAGCAATGGCCTCCAACCTGCTAGCGATGGCCTTCAACCCAATAGCAATGGCCTCCAACCTACAAGCAATGGCCTCTAACCTACTAGCGATGGCCTTCAACCTAATAGCAATGGCCCCCAACCTGCTAGCAATGGCCTCCGACCTGCTAGCAATGGCCTCCAACCTGCTAGCGATGGCCCTCAACCCAATAGCAATGGCCTCGAACCTACAAGCAATGGCCTCTAACTAACCTACTAGCGATGGCCTTCAACCTAATAGCAATGGCCTCCAACCTGCTAGCGATGGCCTTCAACCTACTAGCAATGGCCCCCAACCTACTAGGGATGGCCTTCAACCTAATAGCAATGGCCTCCAACCTGCTAGCAATGGCCTCCAACCTACTAGCAATTGCCTTCAATCTAATAGCGATGGCCGACGACTTGCAACATCTTCAAACCAGCGGCTCATACCTATGCACAATCATATCACGATTGCATACCACAATAGAGCAGCAAAATTTAGCTGCAGCCATTTGCAGCCGGATGCGTTCGCGGACTCCCAAGTTGAAGAGAAAACCCCCAAACTATCCAAACTGAGGGAGCTTCCCCATGCGCCGAGCTCAAGCCTTGGAAGATGTTCTGTCAGGTTCTGGCAGGTTCCCAAGTGCAGGATATGCGCCATCAAGCGCCTCTTTTTTTGTCCCAGGTGAAGCGCCATGGCCAAGAAGCAGGTGGCAGGATACATCTTGGAAAAGCCCGCCCGGTACAGCGTACGTCCCCATCATCGTCATCATCATCTTTAAACCAGAGACATGGCCTCCAACCTGCTAGGGGCTAGCGATGGCCTCCAACATAATAGTGAGTCGCCAAGCACAACGTGTAGCGCAATCTCTAGGTCATTTTTAGAAGGGCAGTCGACGGAACCAGCAGTAGACCATGGAACCAATTAATATATACAATTATATAAATATTACATGTTTATCAGTCAAGCAATTGTTTCCGACTCAGACATGGAACCATGACAGATGGTTTTGCTCCTCACTTCACCTGACCGGGCATTGTGCATGTTCTTTCAAACGTCGAACCGCCGTGCAGGCGAATTGGCAAAGGCTCCTACGCAACAGTGTGGAAAGGACGGGACGACAGACACTTGGCCGCAGTTAAATCCCGATTAAACATGTCCCGATGAAATCCTTATTGTCATGGGCCAGATTGATTTGTTTCGCTCACCTGTGTGTTGCCGTGTGCCAACTTAGAACATGAACTTTATGCAATTAAAGCCCCGCACTCAGCCGCCGCGTAGCTGGCGTAGATGGCCTGCAGCAGCCGGGTCTCCCGCCTGACTTCTCGCTTCAGTCGCGCAGCTGAGGTGATCAGCCGCCAGACGGTGACCGAAACCGCACAGTTGAGGCAAGAAGTAGAGGCCGAGCAGAAAAGAGATTTGGAAAAGAGAGAGAGAGTGAGTGAGTGAGTGAGAAAGAAAGAAGAATCGGACGGAGACTCATGTATCCACAGGTCCATTGCTTTTTGACAATTACTTTCTACCTGCTGGTAACATCTGGTAACCTTTTTGACGAATTGACCAAACTGATGGTTAAGGTCTTACGCAAAATCTCTCATCCAAATATTGCCTCTTGTGCAGCAAGCAGATGCGGTTCTGTTGCGAGAACGGATGCAGGGTTGGCCTTCAGTTTGCTTCTTACGCGAATTCTGTGTGACCGTGATTTCGACGTGAAACAGAAGGTGAGAGTAGCGATGCAACTGTGCAAACGAACTGCCGACAACATCCCTATCAATGGCATATCTATAGGAGCTGGATATAGCTAGATGAGGCACAAAGAAAGTAATGAGACCACAAGCAACCAGTAACTAGTCCTTGGTTTGCCGGCGGTTGGTGTTGTATATATATATATATATGTATGTAAGAACCCATAGCCAGTCTGCCTCAGGTGCGCTTTCGCGACCTCAAGAAGAGCACAGCGCACTTTTACTTGGTTTTGGAGTGCCCTGATTTTACAAGATGGATCACCCGTGGAGCAGAGTAGATTGAGTAGATAGCACTGCCTTCAGGGGTTTTGCAGTAGGGCACTTGCCTGAAGTTTCAATGTAATTGATTCAATGGGGTTGCACTGCACAGGCTGCGGCCATCTACGATCTACTTTCTGCAAATTGGTGTATGTCGCCTTCTACTTAGGTTCTCCAACCTGCATGCGAGGTTCGGTTCCTCCAAGGAATCCTGCAAGGGATCGGTTTCATGGCGACCTCTCAGTGAAACCCTGCAGGTACTGTGCCGGTGGCGACCTCTCGCAGTTTCTTCGTGCGTCAGGACCCCAGAGCCGAGCCAGCAACCCCTAGAGGCAGGTCCATCAGACGGGGGGCTGGAGTCGACCCCTCTAGGAGGCCGGCCCGGTGGGCAGAAGCGTCACAACAGTTCCAAAGACGGGAACTACTGTGTATATATATATATATACATGTTTCATAACATATATATATATATATTGCGGAACTGGTAGGAGCAAATACCCAACAACTCAATGTCAATGTAGATCACAATCAACTGCAACCGGTCCTAGGTCACTAGACCTCACAACATAGCGGCACGCGCCTTTTCCGATCAAGCCGAACAACGGCTCAAGGCCTTCAGCCAATATGGCCACGTGAGGACACCTGACATGCACTCCAAGGGCAATTTCACACGCCCTCTGTCCGAGAGGGGCTTTCATATGCAGCCTCGAATCCTTCACATCTTTCGTTCAAAGCCGACAAGGGAGCTTGCCTTGGAATCGGTCCAGCGAATGCGCAACAGGAGTCGAGCAAGGTCGGTGGCCTGATTCTTCACGGGTCCACTCTTTTCTTTTCCATAGGTCTTCCCTAGACTTAAATCTGGAATCTCCGGCTCCGGAGGCCGACGCCTTATCCATTAGGCCAACAGCCCTTTCTGATCAACTACCTGTCAAGGGCACACTCTGCCCCTGACACGCAAACACTATCCCCCCGCCTCCTCAAGGGAAGATGCCCTTCAGAGATCAGGCGAGCGCCAGAGAGCCACAGCTGAAGCCACCTCCATGCACCAGCCGAAAAAAGATCCATCTCAACCCACAACATCTCCACCTCCACAGCTTCCGCTCCTCAACGCCCGGAGCCACAAGTCAGTCCACCTCAGTTGCCGACAAAGGGTCGCCACCTCCACTGGCCTCTCCATCTCAACAGCCCATCTGCTCCACGCCAACATGGATGAAAATACTCGAGGTGGGACGCGAACCCACAATCTCCTCCTTAGGAGGGAGGCGCCTTATCCATTAGGCCACACGAGCCACGAGGCATTGGCTCTAAGGCTGGCCATGATGCACACCACGTGGCCAACTGCAGAAACGCTCCTCAAAAAAGACTTGGATGCATACAACTCATCCCCAGCACTGCTCAAATGAGCTGCAAGCATCTAACCTGGATGTGGCTTGGTCTCATATCCAGTCTTCAAGCCCCCTCCTTACCAAGCTCTTGCTCCCAGTATTAAGGCCAGGCACCCCTAGCTCTTGCTTCCTTTTCATCCTTGGGCACGTGGCCTGCACTACCAACCTGTTGGAGGGAAGAAAGCAATCTGACTATGATGAAGGGGTCTCAAGACATGGTGCGCAGATATGCAAGCCTCACATCATCGATGCCACTTGCGTCAACGTGCTGTCAGCCATTCGTTGCCACTGCAGCTACCACCACAAAAACCCTCATTGCCACTGACACCACGATGACCACTGTCACCAACCATGTACCAGAGCCACCATAACTGCAAGCGCAGCACCAAACCACGCGCCTCGCGACAGCACACTTGCAGAATTTTGAGCCACAGCGAACCGGAGTTCCCACTAGAGCATCCTGCGCACGTCAAGGGAGCACAAACAGTGAGCTGGCAGGACTTGAACCTGGAATCTCCGGCGGCGGAGGCCGACGCCTTATCCATTAGGCCAACACAGCCCTTTGGCCTTCTCCACAATCTGACGGTACCCCCAGTTGCGGTCAGCATAGGCTTCCATCTTCACGATGGTCTTTCCCCATGTTCCAACATCATGCACATCAGCTGGTAGCTCGACCGACATGTCCTCATCTTCGACTGAGGTTTCCGGCATGCGAAGGGCTCCACTTGACGTGGGCATGGGAACAGAGGCACTTGGTCCATCATGGTATGCACGGGCACTCGTCAACGACACTTCATTCCACGCCGATGATGGGCTTGCGGATTCTGCATCCTCCAGTAAGCTGAAATCAAGCGGGCGCTTCACGGACTCGCTCATGGTTCCACCATATCCTTCGTAGATCCGGGTCTTCTCCATCATCCAAGCTTCAGCACGGGGATCCAGTGATCCAACAATCAAGAACATCTGGTTCTGTTGACCGTTCATGATGGCTCGAGTGGTCAGCCTTGCTGCTGTGTCGATTTCATCGGCACTCAAAGGCGGGTACGTCTCTTGACGACGTACCTTCTTAGCATCCATTGCATGGCTGCTCATGGCTCTGGCACTTACAAAGGAAAATCACACGGCTTGAGTCTCGCCTTCTGGCGACGGCAAAGAAAAACAAATGAATTCTCTCCTTCCATCTCTTTTGGTCCTTTTGATGGAAGCACTATGGCACTCACTGAGGTTCAAGACGTTTCGACAAAAATGACTTGGTCATGTTCGAATCTAAGTCTCCGGTGGACACCCCAGCATCTAGCTACAAAAAGGAAAAACATGCACAGCTTTGTGGCTATTCCGAATCTTGCTCGGTTTGACCTGCTCGCTCTTCAGCAAGTTCCTTGTGCTCTCACGGGCGATGGCATAATCTATTTGCAAACGCTCCTCGGCACTTGTGGTAGATGAACCACAGGTTTTATTGCATGCATCATAAAATCCTTTTGAGTCAATCACCAAACACGACGGCTCGTCCGGTGTGATTTCACGAAACTCTCGAGGTGTTACTCCCTTCAATGTTTCAAGAATCAATGCTTGCAAAAACTCAATGGAATCTAAACCATTTTGACCAGCCAAGGTCTCAGCTGCAACACTTGAATGAATAGCTCGCTTGAGCTTTTTGCTTGCCCAATCGATCAACCATACAGGCGCTTGCTCTCTGGCCAGCATCTTCGGATTTGTGAGGCAAAGAAGGAAGCCTCCCTGGGAATCTCCATTAGCGCGTTTCTTCCAACCAGCTTTCTTTCCTTCATTTCACGAAGTGCTTTATTATACATCTCTACATGTGCAACAGTGCCTTGGGACTGGACTCCCTGCAGATAAGACGCTAGAAACGCCTGATCAGGACGAGTGGCACCAGCGGCCCATGCCAGCTGTCCGGCACACTGTCTAAGAATCGATGGATCCTTCAGAGGTGTACTGGCCTTACCAAGTTCTTTGTTACTTACGGGCTTCAAACCATCTATATAGGCCTCTTGTCCAATTTCTATTGCATACGTGGTAGGGTTTTGCCGAATTTCTATGCCAGTGTAACGAATTGTAAAGGTTCGGTAATCACCAAAAGGTAGCTTCTTCCTTAATTCGGTTAACACTGCATCCATTTCGGGGGTTCCTCCACCTAGCAAATCGTCGACGTGCACTCCACGCACACCGATGAGTTCGTTCTTGCTATTGCGAAGTGTGAACAGGCAGGGATCTAGTTGGGATACCTTCAGACCTGCTGACACAAGTTCGCGGCTCAGACGCAAAAACCAAGCTCTGGGTGCTTCGGCTAACCCATAGGCAGCCTTTTCTAGTTTGAAGAGGTCCTCATCTGTGAGATCCATCCACTCTTTGATCTGAGGAGGCGGGCGGAAATACAGCTCTCGATCGGAAGGGTCTCCGGAAAGAAACGCTGTTTTGATATCTGCTCCCCAAAGTTTCCACTTTTTGGCGGCGCAAATGGATAACACCAGGTTTTTGGACTTTTTCTTCAAAGTAGGTGAGTCTGTAGCTATTTGGCCCAAACACGGATCTTGCCATCCCACGAGTACCAATCTAGCTTTGGGGGTTTTTGATCTATCATCGGGGTCGGATGACTTTTTCCAAACCAATACCCAACGAGCACGAATGATTTTCTCTCGTGGAATTCCCCTTGATTTGCAAAGAGAGGTGACCCTGTTGTCGATCCATCACTGCCATTCTTTTTGCATGGCTTTATCGAAGAGTTTCTTATCTTCTGGACTCAGTTTACGATAGTTCACCTCGACGCGACGTTGTTTTGCCTTTGTTTCAGCCACAAGAAAACATTCTTCAAGTATGTTCCACAAAAACAATTGGTTATCCGTGATGTCATCAGGTGTGATGTTTAAAGAAACTTCCAAGATTTCCTCATGCTTTGGCACTCTGGACGGTTTATAGTGAGTCACTTCCTCTGCTATCAGTTCATCATCGTCATCATCTATTGGGATAGGACTATTCTGGGCTAATTCTAGGTTACGGGTGGCTTCCTCTGCAGACGGCAGATGTGATTCTTGACTTTGCTCTGCGGGATTGCCATCCTGATCGAGATCATCTGCATTCTGGCTATCAGAGGCTTCGGCATCTGTGCGATCAGTGCGATCAGACATCGGCTCATCCGCGGATTGATGGACTGGCGAACCCGGGATCGATGGCTCATATTCGATTTCTTCTGCTTCACTGTTGACAGTCACATGTCTTTTTGCGCTGGGTTCGTCCTCTGGGTCCAGGCTATCACGATCATGTTTCATGCCTACAATCACTGGTTGTTCTCCTTCATGAAGGGCTCCTAGAGGTGGTGCGCCCTCTGACCTACGAATCCAATACTCCTGGGATCTATCATACCTACGACGGATCTTGCGGGGTCCGCCCTCTTCGCCTTTTTCCGGGGGTTGATGATCTATGGGTTCTTCGAGTCTATCTTCTTCAAGATCGAAGTCCTCGGGTCCAGGAAGATCGGTGGTCAGATCCTTCCACAGTCCATTGCGACTTGACAGAGACTGTTCTGCTTGCTCGACATCCGGCTCGAGGCGACCTTCAGAAAGATCACGAGCAAGCCTACGAAACTCTGCTTCGTCTTCAGGAACTGGCCTAAGTCCTTCTGGTGAACATCGATACAAATACCCATTGAAGCTAACCCACACTATTCGAGGTATTGGGCTATTCTTGGAGCTTTCCGTTCCAATGACTCTACCTGGTCCTAGCCATACCCCATGACGTGTAGACAGAAGGCCTCTGGCAGTTCTACGAAAGATGTACACCAGCTGTCCAGCACAATATGGTCCTCGCATCGGTCGGTTGCGACCTGCTAAGGCACGTCTCCAGATATCTTTAGCATGTTCTTTGTGAAAAGCTTCACATGCGGCTTCTCTCAAACG